TCTAGCCATGGCTCTCTATGGCTTTTGTATGGCTTTTCTACCTCTCCAAATGACTAACTGGGCCACAGTCTTGCATGGGGTCATTGGTCAATTTATTATGCAAGTAGAGTGACTTATAGTCTACCAGCGTGACTGGACTACTGATGAGTAATGCTACGAGTGATGAGTAAGTTATTGATTGTTGAAGGGATTGGTCAGTTCTTGGTCCTGCTGGAGGACCATGCCTTGAAATGGACATGAATAGGCTTTTATAAGGGCCAGACCCACACAGTTTCAAGGGCCTCTCCATATCATGAAGCTTACCGTGGAATGCACCCTTTGCACCGCCTAGACCCTGGCAGGAAGCGTGTTCCCAGTGGAGACTGCCTGAGATGCTGAAAAACAGTGGCAGAGAACTGAGAAGCCCGTGGAACAAGGGGGCTGAGAGGGGCTTGCTGACCTAGAAAGCAAAAGCTAATCACCTTTGGGCAGCAAACCTGCCAGTGTTACCAAATTGCTATAACATTTGCCAGTGTAGGGCCAAGGCCCGAGTTGGCCTGTCCAAGGGTTGCCTCAGAGGATCTTGCGCAGAATTCTTCCTCCAGCCGCATGGAGTTGGCTGGCTCTAGGCAAGAGGCTTGCTAACAGAGCTCAATGGGTGGTAGCACTTCCTCGTGCAGGGCAAGGGTGGCCTGAGGGTGTTTCCTGCAGGGGCTGCACACTCGTCTCAAGGCCCGGGAGCCTGGGCTGCAGGAGAGCACCCCCAATCCAAGCAGCAGGACCGAACCCCACAGCAGAAGCCTCTCAGCAAACCAGAAGCCTCAGGAGCTGCGCACGCCCCCTACGCAGTGTGATGTGCACACACCCTGGGACCTACACTACAGGAGCCTGCCAAGCAACAGAGAAAGGACACAGACCATTTGTGGAAGGGCAAGCATTTACCCTTTAAGATGGATGCTATTGTTTACTGCTGGCTTTCTACAAATAATAACAATGACTTTCTCCTTTGACAACACAGGTAAATGTCTCATGTCTGCCTCAGTCACAGAGGAACATAGCGCAGCACCCTCTGAATGAATGGTCAGAGGGGCAGTTTCAAGACGGTCATGGAAAAATCCAATTAAACGGATAATGAAAAGTGTTCACAGACGTTCCTTTTAACTTCTTATTGTCAACAGGGTGAAGAAGCCGAGCAGGTCACTTTTCCCTCAACAATTCATGGGTGTTTTGTTTGATTTCACTCACTGCAATCCCTACAATGGCCCATCGCTCACCCTACTTTCTCGCTGTTTCCTGTTTCCAGTCTTGCTTCCTTCCTTAACCCTCAGAACTCTGTCATTGAGTAATCTCGCCATTCTTATCTAGAGGGTGGCCTGTTCTGAGGTGTGCCTGCCTCTGCAGTGTTTCTGTCCCCTTGTAGAGCCACCTACTGGAAACTGAGCCACAGCGGGCAGTGCACTTGCAGACCTGAAGGGTGACAAAAAAGATGCAGTCTGGTTGGTTCCACCGGTCCCTACCCGACCGGTGAGCCGGGCCTTTTTTATGACTTGGAGTTTTCTTCCATATTTCCCTCCCACTCCGGGAACTTCAAACCTGATCCCTTTCAGAATGTTGGCAGTGGTGGCGAGCACCATTCAATTCTTCTGTTCTCAGGGTCTTGGAAACTGATTTTTGCGTGGTCTATTAATACATTGAACTTATTTTTTCATATGCCTTTAGTTTTCTTCACCCTTTTTTTCTTCAAACAGGGAGAGACCCATCGGTGCACTTGAGATTGCTGCTCATGAGCTTTAAGACCCCAGTCACTACCCACAAAGTAGGTTGTAGAGCATCATGTCTGTGGACTGTCATAGGCTAGTTGACCCCGGTGTCCCCCAAGACTGGGGTCTGAAGCACTCAGGCCCCTGTGACTCATTCCCTCAAGGTGTTTGGGTATGTCTAGGACGTTTCCAGAACTTGTCTCATGTGCTCCACCGTGTTCATGGGCGTATTTGCAGCAAAGGTAAAAATACAGGTGTATAAGTGTGAATTCATTGGCCCACACCCTTTACCCTTCCCATAGCTGGTCATTTCTCATGTCTACCCTATTTGTAGATCGCCACTCTCTGTACCCAACAGTGTGATCTCTGCTGCCTTTCATTCTTGCCCCTTCTCTGTCTTCGCCTGACTCCATCTTCTTTTGCTGACCTCCCACTTACTGTATATATTGTCTTCCTTTTCCTACAAGTTAACACGTGTCTATCTTCTAGCTGGTAATTTACCTACCCTTTTCCTCCCACCCCTTTCCCACAAACATTTTGAACCTCCTTTGTGAAATGTCTCATTCCCAGCAGTCGTATGGCAGCCTGAAAGTTTGCGGTACAGCCTGTCTGCATGTGCAGTATCGCTAGACAGGCGTGTACATACAGATCCAACGGCGCATCCAGTGGGGTGCAATTGAAGTGACCACGTGGCATTTTGAAAGCATAAGGGGAAACCACTTTGAGCAAGCCTCATTCCAGGAGCTGAGTCATTCGTTGGGCTTACAGTAGTAGTGGGCCCATCCGCGTCTGGAATTGGAGCAGGGATGCAGAGGCCTGCATTTGTGGCTGAGTAGAGAGAGATCATGGAGAGTAACTAGCCAGCAGTGTGTCCGGGGGCAGATGTCAAAGCCTCCCTGGCTTGCAGCTGGCACGCACTGACCAAGACGAGCGTGAGGAAGAGGGCTGTGGACAGCAACTGCGATCCAAAACAGTAGGCTCTGATGCACAATTTTCAGGAAAGCATAGAAGTTTAGAGGGAAAAAGAATAAATGGGCAAGGAATACTGAATGGCTAATGGCTATCACTTTGCCAACACTGTGCACGTGTCGCCCCTGTCCAGTTTGAGCACAAAGGACAATGGTGCTCATGGGACAGTTGATGTCAGGGGGTGTACTGCCTCCGTCCCAGCAGTCTTAGAGAGGGCTGCCAACTTGTGGCAATGCAGGTAGACAGACAAAGCATGTGGTCCTTAGCTAAACTACATCCGAAGTTCTATTCCCAAATCAACTCACTTCACCAGAATTGGGGAGGACCTGCCATTCTATGGTGCACAGGGGGACTAGAGTAGAGCTAGAACCAACCACTCCTCACAACTAGGGGGGAAGAGTTAAGAGTTGAGTATATCTTGGCAGGGCGGGGTTAGGGGCGGGGCAGAATTCCATCCACTACAGTATTAAAAATGAGTTTCATAGGCTGTCCTGGAGGAAGTCCCCTAAACGGGGTCTGAGGTTCTCTGATACCACCAAGTAATGACACTTTTTATCATGAGAAGAAATGAAACAACTAGCCAAGGTCCACGTGCTCCTTCCCAGTCATAAGATACATATGTGCCATGACAGAGGAGCAAGTAACATGTGTGCAGCTCTCTTGTTGCTTTCCTGGAGTCTGAAATGTTTTGTTGTGCTAGACAATGGGGAAGTGCTCCAGATGGTGGGGTGGGGTATGTTAAGGTACACGAGCGTTTATTTTTGAGACTTCTTTCATTTGAGAGCATCTAGTAATGAAAAACTAGTAAGAAAAGGTTAAGAAAAACGTAGGGTACAGTGAGAGAGAGGGAGAAGTAAGGGGGAGATGCTCTTGCAGTAGATAAAGGGGGAGGAGGGGAAGATGCTTTCTGCAGCTAATAGGTGTAGAAAGCATGAGGGTATTCGAAGATCTCTCTTATAATCTCAAAATTGACGTGTGTAAAGAGCATAAACCCAAATGAAAGCATGAGAGTAAATAGTTGTGGAACAAGGTACACACGCAGTCTCAGAGCTTTGTTCCACGGATATCTTTCGTTTATGAAATGTGCACTTTCATAACACAGACCTGGCAGATACCACACTTTAACACAATGAACAAACTCAGTTTCGCCAAGAGGGGGCCGGCCACATTGTTGGAACTTGCATCCTGATGTGGTGCGGTACAAAGTACACAGCACTGTTTACGTAATTAAGGCGTGATCCACGTTGAATTTAATCAGGTAAAGCCACCAGACAAATCAAGCACATGGGACATTTTATTGAACAACTGTCCCGGATTTTTCAAAAGGGGGGAAAAAGGGACCAGGGTACTACCCTACATTTAAAATATTTTTTAAAAAGCCTAAAGTATTATATCAACCAAGATTATTATTGTGTACATACTGATGGGATTCTGGGTATTTAAAAAAAGATATAATTATATTGGACATGTTTTCAGGCGGTACCAGTCCCTGGAGAAGGCCATTGGGTTTGCAGGGTAGCAGGGCAGCAAAAAGAGGAAGCCCTTCAACGAGCTGGATTGACACAGGCTCCACTGATGGGCTCCAAGATAAGACAGTTGTGAGGATGTCACAGGCCTGGGCGGTGTTCCATTCTGTTGGCCATGGAGGCACCAGGAGTGGGGCCGACTCAATGACACCTAACAACAACACAGACACAATACCAAAAGAAGTGTAGGGACGATTGTGACATTTTGGTTCTCAACAGTACATTAGATGTCACTGAATTATATGTAAGGTTCTTCGATGTGATAATGGCCATTTCACTTAGGCACAGAAAGTCCTGATTTGGAAAATATGTATGCGGACGATTTTTAGGAGTAAGATACCAGCAACATGAAGTCTGCAACTTATTTTTCAGTAAATGAACAAAAAAGCTGATCCCTCAGTAAGTAGATGTGTTCCATAGAGAGAGCCAGCATAAATTTGGCAAGCTGTCAGAACAGCAGACGAGGTTGTACAAGTGTTCCTTGTACCGTGCCTTCAACTGGTTTTAGGTTTCAGATTCTTCAACATAAAAAGGTTGGTGAAAAAGTTTCTTTGATTACATATGTTGTTTGCATGCTTTTAATGAAATTAAGAAAAAATTAATATTAATAATTATTTACCTGTGTATCTCAAGGGTAAGAAAAGCTGGTGAAAACCCAAAATTAGAAAAGAGACCAGGCTTATTGGTTGGATAGAAACAAGGGGGCCCCCAGAACTATGGCCCTTAAGTCTGGAAACAAGCCCAGCTCCATGCTAGAACACGCTAGATGTACGATGAAAAAGGCAGCGCTTATCCCGGGACAAAGTTGAGAAGGTTAGAAAAAGGAGGAGGACTAGAAATCGGAAGCCAGGTAATAAAATGAGGGAATTGGACTGCATGAGTTGAAACGAAATGAGTATTAATTATTGGTGGTCTACACTCTTTTTTCTTTTTAAATCATTTTATTAGGGGTTCATACAATTCTTATCACAATCCATACATACATCAATTGTGTCCAGCACATTCGTACATATGTTGCCATCATCATTCTCAAAACACCTGCTTTCTACTTGAGCCCTTGGTATCAGCTCCTCATTTTCCC